GCTGCCAAAAACCCGCCGGGCACCGAACCACTGTGTGTATTTAAAAGTTCCTGAGTTAATTTTGAAGTGCTGAAGTCTCATCTAGAAAGAGGATTTGGATAAGTATTCTTTAAAATTATTTTGGGTTGGGATTTTTAGAGCCTATAGAAGCAGACCCTGAGTTAGTAAGTGAAAGAAACTGAATAGGTAGATAAAGCCTCTCCTGGAAGAGTGAGTCTTAATTCCCTTATTTCTTCAATTGTGATTGACTACTTTGCTTTTTTACATTTTTATTTGTAAGAACTAATGTTTGCAAGTGACTTACTTTACTGTGACATGTTCGTTTTGTTACCATCTCGGAATAAAAGTAGAATTGATCTGAAAATGAAGCTTATTAAAATAATGTCTGTTTTGCCTAGGGGCCAAGGGATGCAGAGAATGATGAGAATGACAAAGGGGATAAGAAAAATAAGGGCACATTTGATGGCGATAAATTGGGAGATCTGAAGGAGGAGGGGGATGTGATGGATAAAACAAATGGTTTGCCTGTGCAGAATGGAATCGACACGGATGTCAAAGACTTCAGGTACGTGCACTATTTAATGAGTAATTAAGCAGTGTCACACCTCACATTTTTGGAAGGATTTTCCATGGCGTAGTGAAAAAGCCTTTGACTCATTGAAACACCGTCATAAGGACGTCACGTACACAGGGAAGCGCTGGGAAGGTGGAGGGTAACATCTGATCGCTCTGGTCTCTGCAGACCTAGTTCTGTATATTGTAATCTTGTTTTATTTTCACACCTATTTTTGGTTACTCCGTGTGGGATTCCCATGGAAATACCTGCTGAAGGTGTTGACTCTGCTAATGTGCTGGTGTAAATCATAGTTGGGGTTTGGACTTGTTCCTTGTAGTTCGTAAGAGATTAAAGCTCTCTGAAATTGTGGCTATTGATGTAATCGATGCATTTGTATTTCTTGCTGGCTTACCTACTTGCCGTGCCTTGTGTTGGCATGTAGGAAAGCTGTAACAGTGACACAAATGTGCTGAGGCGCATGCCGCTGGCCCTTGCGTTGGGATGAACCATTTCCCACTTGAGTCCAATGCTGATGTTAGGTAATTAGGAAACCACGGCAGCTAATTTAGAAAGGTTTCAATTGAGATACAGTGCTAGAGCATCACATGGTTAATAATTACCAAATGGCTTTAGGAAAAAATAACTTAGGCATTTCTGAAATCCTGTCCTGTTATGACTGACTCTCTGAATTGAGGGGAAAAAAAAGAAACTGGATTTTTTTTTTTATACTTGTACTGCAACAGGTCTTGGAGGCAGGGGGACTGGGGATTTTGTGGGTGGTGGCTTTGTTTGGTTTTTTACATACGTAAATTGTTCTGTAGAATTCATTTAGGAAAATACTTCAGGCCATCCTTTTATCCCCCCTTCCCCTTTATCACAACATCTGCAAGCACTTCTGGTGAGTACTGGTGTCTGTGGCCGTTAATAGATGCTGTGTGACGTGGCATGAAGTGGATTTTCGTAGTGATGAGTGTCTGTTCTTTTTTGCGTAGCCGTACACCTGGTAACTGCCAGAACTCTGCTAGTGAAGTGGATCTTCTGGGTCCAAACCAGAACGGATCAGAGGGCTTAGCGCAGCTGGCCAGTACTAACGGCGCCAAGCCGGTAGAGGATTTCTCCAATATTGAGTCCCAGAGCGTCCCTCTGGATCCCATGGAGCACGTTGGCATGGAGCCTCTTCAGTTCGATTATTCTGGCACCCAAGTACCTGTGGACTCGGCCGCAGCCACCGTGGGGCTCTTCGATTACAATTCCCAGCAGCAGGTAAAGCGGCAGCCGCTGGCCCTACCCTACCGCTCCCCTTCCGCCGGGGGGGTCGGCGCGGGGTTAGCACGAGCTCAGGCCCTTGCCCTGGGGAGAGGGATGGAGGAAGGCTCGGAATGGGTTCAGCGTCTCTGTGCCATCTGTAGAGTGCTGCAGGTGTCCTCCGAGGGGGCTTGAGGCAGGAGATCTACTTGACGTGGCCGTCTGAGCGGCCGTCAGCTGCTCTTTATCACGGGTCCTTATCGACAGCACTTCCCTGCGTGTTGATCGCTGTTAACTTGAGTAAGTTTGCGTTGGAGAAGAGTTTTAAATGAGTAAAAACCGCTAAAAAGACCCCAGCAACCCACCCTCGAGCCCTTCAGGTAACGTAAAGGTCAAACGAGTGTTCAGCCACGGTGCTGCAGGCCTGCTCTGGGATCTCCCCAGTACCGAACCGGGGCAGACCAAAGGAATGATGGGTTTAAACTGGCTCGCTTGTACCCGAGTGTGGTTTAAAACCTGAGGTCAGAGCCTGATACTACAAAACTTTTATCTCAGCCCAGCGAGTTTGTTTGACCTTTTCTCCCACGCAAGCGGCCTGAGCTTCTCATCCTGGACAAGTAACCCGAGTCCTCGCTTTGCTGTTGGCTTCTCTTGAATGCTGGGCCTCGGTCCAACCATCGACTCGTAATCCAGTCCTGTTCCTGCTAGTTTGAGTAACGATTGTAAACTTTTATTACTTTCCTTTTGTAAGTATGATATCCCTCAAAGAAGAATAAAATCCTTTGTTGTAGCTGATTGCAAGAGTATATAACTAGCCTCGGGTTTCCTGAAATATCTGATCTTTCCTAGCGAAATAGCCTGTTGGCACTCTGTATTGAGGAAAGACCGTTGCCAGGCTTGTGCTAAAGACCCACCTTCAGAGAGTTATCGTAGTCTTACAAGCAATGTAAATATCTGTGTTATAGCTTAATCGGTTGTTTTATTATGTAGCATGTTTGAGAGGTTAATGATGGAAAATTTTTTTAATGATTAAACTAAATAGCTGCTGTGTAGTTAAAAAAAAAAAAAAAGGCTAGTTTCAAGTCTTTGTCTTACTCTGGTATAGGACCTTGAATGCAAGAATTACTTTCAAACAGTGAAACTTGTGCATTTTTTTAAACAGTACGTTAGAGCTAAATAGGTGAATTGCTTTTCAAAGCACTGTTAGATATGGGAAAATAACTGCAGGAATGTGAAGCCTGTAATTTGCATTTTGTCAGTGTTTTCTGTTTAAAATTAAAGCTCATTTACAAGTTCAAGTAGTTTTTATTTGTTTCTTCTAGCTTTTAAAAAACAGGGTTTAAAATTTGGCACGTCTGGCACCTAGCTGGTGGGAATACAAACTCTCAAAGCAAGGCTGACCGGGACAGCACGCCGACTGCAGGTCGGCTTTTGGCCCTGGCCGGCCCTGTAGTCAGGCCCGGGGTTTTTCCTTTGTACGAGGTGGATGGGTAAGATCCCCGCAGAGCTGATGTCCCCTCCGTGTCACCATGCTTAAAACTTTCTGCTGGCTTGCCTGTGAAGCTGCGGCTCTCTCTGGGCTCTGTGAACCGTGGGGTTTGGTGGGGAGCAGGAGGTCCTGGGACGCTGAGCACAGCTGCCTGCCCACGCGGTCGCGCTGAGAATGAGCCGGCCAGGCTGGTGAAGAAGGACTGTTATTTTAAAGTTTCAGCTTTGTTGCTTACACCTACAGTAGAGCAAACGGCGGGGTTTTGTAAGCTAAGTGCTGGGTAAAGATAAGGATTCCCTCTTCTGCCCAAGTGACCTCGCGGTGCACGGTTGTGTACACGCGATGTATCTTGGCTCAGAGTTTTCTTAATATATGCTGTCCAGCAGCCAGTGTTTCTTGGTATTCACTACCTGCCAGTTATAGCCCGTAGGAAGGAAATCTGTCTTTTGGCAGTGTATTTTTTTTTTTTTCCATTCGGTTGTCAGAAGGAAATATGTCCTGAACAAAAGGATCTCGTCTGTAAAAGTGTCTTTCTCGGTCCGTGGGGAAGCGTCATGTACTCTGAAGGGATTACAAGCAAGTGCAGCTAAAAGCAATATTAAGAAGGGATGGTCTTAACCACGTGTAATCTGATTAGAGATGTCAGATGTTTATATTGCAGAAGAAACTGGCTTACAGAAATCTAATCTTACAGCGTTCCCCTAACTGTGTAATACAGACTGTGGTGTTCTGGTTTCTTGGAATTCCCTTGATGGATTCCCCTGTGTTGTAAAAAATGATAGTTCCTTTGTGTACACGTGTGAGAGAGGAAAATAGCCTCGCTCTCTGAAATGTCGGGGGATCCCACTGAACCCCTCCGAAACTGTCAGTCATTTGTAGGGTTTTCGCTCTGAATATGATTTCTAATCGGCTGAAATGCTCCGTGCAGACGTTGTTGTAACTGCAGCCTCGCTTTGTAAATGCCAGGTAATGCTCCTGCTAGCTTTTTCTTTTTCCACTTAGGGGAGACCACAATTTAATACTGATATGTAGTTTAAGCTTAGTTTCATATCCAGTAGGGTTCCAAATAAGATGACAAAAAGCTATTATTTGAGGTTTTGCTTTTTGCTTTGTTTTTGGAATATAGGTCTTTGCTGTCAGCAGATGGAGACAGCGCATTGAGGTTTTAATAACTCTTCCTAAATACCTAGAGTTGATGATTCCCAGAGCTTGCGTAGTGTAGGGCTTCTCTGGCAAAGTAAAGCCTGGAATTGCGATCGTTTTTGTTGGCTCTGCTTCCTCGGATGTGCTACAGGCAGTATGAAGTCTGCAGCTGCAAAAATTTGTAGCTGTTCACACTGAGTTTCTTCCAGGTATGTTGAGTCCAGAGTCCGAGTTGGCAGGCATAGGGAGAGGTCGCTGATTTGAGCCAGTGCCCGGGTGCAGGGCTTAGATACAGCCATTTCCCTGACCTTTCTTTGGAGGGGAAAGTCGGAAAAGGGCTGAGAGGAGATCCGCTGCAGGCAG